ATAATTTAAAATAATCATATATTATGATTCATGTTATTGATATAATCGTATAGTTTCTTATCATTATAACTATTATTTATTATCAGTATAATTTATTGTTGTTATTTATGTGATTTGGATTTGTGTTGTTTGATCAATGACTATAATGTTGGATGTTACTTGTTATTAACAATTAATATACATTGTCCTTCTCAATTCTCTTTTTTAATAAAAAAACTTTTTTAATCATATTATAAAAACTACAAAAAACAATATATATTTAATATGTTAAGATATATATATATATATATATATCTTAACATATTAAATTATTAATATAAAAAACTTGCATATTAAAATGTATAAAAATTTTTATACAAATTTAATATGCATTTAATATATATATAATTTTTAATATATATAACTAATATAACAATCGTAAATATTTACATAACTATATTAGCTTTTAATACCAAATTTAAAATGATGAACTACTAAAAATTATAAAACAAAATAATAATATATCGTATTAATATTATTATTTATATTGTATTTATATTATTAATAAAAAATAATTTTATAATAATTATTAAATGGGTATCATAATTAAATAGTTAAAATAAATTTTATATGGTATTGAATAGGTAATTAGGTTTTATAATTAAAAGATTAAAAATTAAAATAATTTTTATATATTTATATTAAATTAAAATAAATATAAAAAATTGTTAAACATTTTAAACATGTTATTTGTATATCTGTGTGACATGATTAAATTAAATATGCTTTTTGTGTCATGTCATGTGTTAAACATGTATTCACGTGTTTAGACGTGTCAATACATATAAAACATGAATTGTGCCGTATTAAAATTTGTATCAACACAAATAAATATGAGACACATATACAAATTTTTTTATCGTTTTTGTATCCTGTCACTTGTCGTGTCTGAAATTGTTAAGTCTAAAATCAAAGGAAACCCTAAAAAAAGCAAAAAAAAAAAAAAAAGAGATTTAAGAAGAAGTACAAAAGGAAAAGAAGATATAAATTAGTTAAATGGAAGCCAAAAAAGCATAAATTTGACAAAAAAAATTTATTAGAAGAAAAACTTCTAAAAAGAAAAAAATCTAAATGCAAATGTTTTATTTGTGATGAAGAATATCATATAGCACCTCAATGTTAAAGGAAAAAATGCTAAAAAAGTTATTAAACCCTCAAGGAACGAGATCTAGAAATTTGTTTTAGAGAATAAGTTTCTAAAAATGAAATTATTTATGAATTAATTTCTTAAATAGATTTCAATTATGATAATGATGAGTATATTTTTATGCTTAATACAAACAGCAATCTTAATAATATTATTATATTAGAAGTTAATAATCAACTTAGTTTTGAAACTAAAGATATACTAGCTAAAGAATAGCAAATTACAGAATTAAGTTTTAAGACAATATGTTACTATTTCTAATGAATTGATAGAAAAACTACAATCATTAAAGAAAGATAAAATCTATAAACTTTTTGTCTTTTCAAAATTCAAACCCTGGATAAAAAGACACATAGAAAAATTTAGTAGCAATACTATAGCTATTGATTCTAATCAAAGATTTGTAGATATTCCTTTATTTACTAAAGAAAAAATCAAGAGATATAAGTAAAAATATCCTAAAGATAGATATATAAATTTAGAAATAATTATGATAACTATAAAAGCTTGATTCAAAGCTAGTAATGATATACCAATAATAGTAGTATTAGCAGATAAGAGATATAAAAATCTTATTAAAGCACTAATAGGGGGAATACAATCAAATCTTTTATCAGGCGCTATTTGATTTAAAGTGAAACCAAATTATTTTATTTCTATTAATGATTCATTAATAGAAAACTACCTTAAATTAAGAATAATACCAAAAAAGTCTAAATTAAAAATGTGACTCATGATCTGTTTATAAACTGAACAATTATAAATTAATTCACCAATCATACTTTTACATCTATTAAAAAAATAGATTCTAATATTATAGAAATATTTGAATAAAGACCTTTTGATTTATAAATCAAATCAAGATTAATAAATCTTAGAGATATGTCAGTACCCATTAGATGGTTATTAAAAAGTATTACAGAACCTGTTCCTTCTAATAGAAAAATAAAACCTATGAAATTTTTTATATTAAGAAATAACTACATTTTAAAAATTATGAAAAAAGTAGTTTTAGTAATAATCTAGTTCTAGCACCACCTCTTCTATACCTTCATTCTCAAATAGAGATAATGAAGACAAAGAAAGTATTGCTAGTGAACAATTTGTTTCACGTAAGCAATCCTTTCATTCTCAACCTTAATCAATAAGTATAAAAAATTATAAATATTCCTATATTTCCAACAGATACTAATAATCCAAATAAAAAAATTTTGGTTTACAACTCAGTAAACTCGATTTTAAATTTAATATCTTTCAGAAGTACTAGAAGAGATGATATTTGAAGCTTAGCTATAATCAACTAACACAAAATTGATAATGATGAAATAATTACATTTTCAAAAAATCAATCAAAAAGGTATTATAATTATGTTGAAGTAGAATTTAGATTTAAAAAGTATAAATCATACTCATTAAATGTTTTGATAGATATTAAAGCTACTATATGCAGTAGATATTAGAGCTACTATATGTAGTTGTAAAAGTAATGCTTTACCATTAGAAAAATGAGGGCCAATGAAACACCTTATTCTAGTCATAGGAATTGATGGAAAAAAAAAAAAACAATAATAGGATACAAAGCAAGAAATATTTATATTTATTTTATGAATAAAAAATTTATAATTTCAAAAATTTTATACTTTTCTTTTATACATGGTGATATGTTGTTAGAAAAGAATTTCATATACAATTATTTACCTTTCTGTTTAAATAAAAATAATATTATTTTTACTAAAAATAAAGAATCTATAAAAATATCTTTAATAAAAAATCATAAATATATATGTGATTATGATTTTCAACCTAAAACTAAAAAAATAAAAATTAAATCAATTAATGAAACAACATTGATTATATAAAATTTTAAAAGAAAATTTTAATTGAGTTAAAACACTTGATTACCCTTTGAAAACCAAATAAATGCTCCATTACCAACGTCAAACTTGTTACCAACTGAACATATCTCTAATTCTAATTTTCAAAGGAGAATTAACCACTCAATAATAATCTAACATGGCTAGCTAATTCCCTCATCCCACTCATTTTTATTGTTCCCTTCCCTTTTTTCTTTCTTTTGCTTTTTTCACCCATGTCAGTTTCTAGAAACTTCTGTCTTCAAAAACTTCAGCCCTTTTTCTGTCTTGAAAGCTTTTGCCTTTTAGACATCAAGAAGCTTCTGTCTGTGATAGTTATAGTTTCAAAATTATCCCTTTAATTATTTTTAAGACAAGCACGAGAACATTAATTAAGAGAAAGGGATAGTTAATAATCATAATAATAATAATAATAATAATAATAATAATAATAATAATAATAATAATGCATTACAATAATTGAAGGATGGTTACAATTGAATTTCGGGGGAATGTCCACTAATTTTGAATGTGACAGAATTATGGACTGCATGGAATTATGATTAAAGTGCAATTACATCTTCTTTTGTTTAAAGTGATATATTTTTTATTTAAAAAAATAATTTAAATTTAGCTTTTCGAGTTGAAAAATATATCAGACACTTAAATTTAAAATAAAATAAAATAAAATAAAATTTTTTGGTTATATAAAAAAGTAAAATTTTAGTACAAATAAAAAAAAAATTTAATTCAAAATTAAACTTTGAATGTTCTTTTAAGTGTCTTTCACTACTAAATTAAACGTTTAAGGACAAATAAAATAAAAAAAATTGAAACAAACTAAACATAAAAAAGTGAGACTTAAATAGTACTTCCTTTGCATTGAATGCGAGTTGGACGTAGCAGATATTAAGATCCATCGGCTTGGTTATTTAATTGGGACAGTCCCAATGGACATGGATTGAGTTTGTATGTTTTATCATATTTTAAAGGAATGATTTTTTTTTTAATTCATAAAAGTTTGAAGATAAGAGGAGATTTTTTTTTTTAATTTAAGATTATAATTAGATTTGATAATTTATATTATTGTATTATATAAAATATTATATTTATATCATATTTTATATGAATATTTTTATTATAATTCGTGTTTATATGAAAATATAAAATATATATTTTTAATTTTATTAAATTTATTTATAATTTTTTTAAAATTTTAAGTTATGTTATTTTTATATTTGTTATTTGTATAATTTTTATGTCGTATTATTGTATTATATTTTAGATTATTAAATTTAATTATAATAGATAATATATCTTAAAAAATTTATATTAAATTTATAAATTATTTATTAAAAATATTATTAATGACAAAATTTAAATTTAAATTTTACAAATAAAATATAAAATCTTTATCAACTTGACCAATTTCATCAGCTAGAAAGAAGAAAATTTTTTGTACGGATGTTTTGACAAAATCTAGCTATAATATGAATACAGATATCGAGATTTTTTATTTTTTAGTTTAAAATTTTAATGTTTCTTTGAGTTGATACATGGAGAGCGGAGTTTCAGTGTTTAAAAATGTCGTAATTTGTTTTTTATTTTTTCTCTTTGTAACAAAACATTTCATGTAATACTTTTTGGAATTTTATTCTTAATTGTTTAACAAATATTTTATTTTTTTATTAAAATCTTATTAAGTATTAAACTTAGTTTTATAAATTTAAATTTTAAAATAGTGAAAATATTTAAATAAATAGTTATAAAAGAAAAAAAATAAAAATAGTAGTACATCTGAAGCAAGAGAGGTTTTGCTAGTATTAATTAAAATTAGTATTTTTATAAAAAATTTAATAAATAATTATCACACGATGAAAAGCATATCTGACAGAAAAAAAAAACAAGCTTTTATAAGTTGACTTATTTTAATTTTATTTTTATGAGGTGGTGCACGTGACTTGTCACGCCATCAATATTCAATATCAGCTCCCACGTGCCCCACCGCTTTCAATTCTCCGCGAAAGCTCCAAACTTTCCCTACATCTGAAAAAGAAAAAAGGCCGAAAACCCCAATTTGACGCCACAATCGACATCAAATCCCTAATTTGTAAAAAAAAAAAAAAAGAGGCAAAACATATACGACTTTTTAATTAGAAAATTGTAAAAAAAATTAATTTGCATTTTTTTAAAATTCTGAAACTTTTGGAAAGAGATGATGGAGGACGGTGGTGCTAGGGTTTCTTCCGATGATCCGACTGTAACCAACGATATTTCACAGACAAGACAAAGGTATAGTATTTCTTTTTTCTACTAAATTTCAATTCGCAAACCCTAATTGCTCTATGATTGTTGTACTTAATTTCTACAATTTAGTTTTTTTTTTTTTTTAGAATTGATCAAAAGAATCTGTTGAATTTGATAGTAATTCAACTGGTTCTTAAGAGGCAAAATAAATCATCTCAAAAGATGAAAAATGTTGTCAATTCCAGTTGAATGTATTAAAGTATTTATAATTTTCGCTTAATGATAATTACAGAGGCAAGAAAAGGAAAAAAAAAAAAAAAACTCGTGGAAGTGAGTTATTGTCCCTTGACTATCAAGCATAAGAGCATCTGCCAAGCCTTCCCAAAAGATTATATCAAAATTATTAACACACTAGGTTGTTTGTTGCTGTGATATGAAACAGTTTTGTGGGTGTTACTATCATTTCTAGGGAGGTAAAAGTGTTTCTTTTTAATCTGATTTTGAAAATGTGCTTGGTTTCGTTTATGAGATTACATTTTAGAGGAAGGATTTCGATTTCAAAAAATGTGTATCATTGAATTTTTAGTAATTTTTACTACATCCATCCTTACAATTTGCTTAACTTTCACAAATACTTGTTTGCAAACAACGTATGAAATTTCTCTAAACGGTTGTTTGATTGTTATATGGCAGATTAATGCTATGCTTTGGTAGTTGCAATTTTTAATAGTTAGGATATTATGCAGGAAAAAGAGAAAGTGGGATCAGCCTGCTGAGGCTTTGGATTCGGCTGGATTCGCTGTCCCATTTAGCAACACAGGAACCCTTGCTGGCATGCCACTTCCTGGTGTAGCTCTAGTCCCAGGCACCTTTCTGTCAAATCCACTTGCCGCTAGTGGTACAGCTGTTACCCCAATCTTTCAACAGCTTGCTGCTCCAGTGGTATCAAAACAAAATCAAGTATGAAAAATAGATGATGGCCTTTGCACAAAGAAAACTCATTGTCACCTGATGTGTACATGAGGCTTAGGGATTATGATGTTAATAGTTTGTTCTGTTACCCTTTTCTGTATTTTGTGAATTTGTCTTAGAAAATGTCATTTGCAAATATTTTATCTTTAGGTTTCTTTTGTTCTTTGCTATGTAATGCTTTATTGGTAGCAACATTAATACCCAAAATGATATTTGTATATTGGTAAGTTCAGGTAGTCAAACGTACCTGATTTGCTATAGAATTTGAGCAGGTTGATGAGAAGGGTAATGATAACGGACTTGATTGCTTAATCAAAATACCCCTCCTTTTGGATTTAGTCTAAAACATATGGACCAAATATGGTTAGTATAAGGATGTGTACTGGATGATTCTTCCCTTTCTTTGTAATTGCTGCTAGTAAATTTTTATGGATGTTTCTGCCTGGATGGTTTCGTGTTTGGAATGCTCATCTGATCAAAATGGCTGTGAGCTTTTGTATTTGGTCATAGGCTATCCCAAGAATTCTTATATGCAGGGAATTTGCATTTTTTGCTTTTTGTTGATTGGTTTGTATATAAATATGCTAAATTGTTTATTACTTCCGTATTTACAAATTAGTTAATTGTAAAATTTAATTGTGCATTTTGTTTGTTACATTGTTTTAGCTTAAGGTCCAAGATGAGTTAGTGATTGCTCGGGAAATTGTAATAAATGATGCGGAATCTTCTGTTCGCCACAAGCTCACAAAACGCCAGACACAGGAAGAGGTACATCTGTGTTTCTTTGCTTAGGAAGATGGGAAAAAGGGTTTGTTGTTGTTAAAATAAGGGGAAAGAGTTATGTTGTTTATTAAACACTGATAAGTAATTTTATTATCTTCTCAGATTCAAAGGTGCACTGGTGCTGTGGTGATAACTAGGTTAGTGTCTCTAAATGGATGTGTAGAAGCTTGTGGATAATTATTTTCCTTGTTTGTCCTTTTTAATGCTTTGACATAATTGGTTTGCAGGGGCAAGTATCGCCCACCAAATGCTCTGCCTGATGGTGAAAAGCCTCTCTATCTTCATATATCTGCTGCTGCTCATGTAAGTGTAATCTGTTCACCCTTATAGGGCATTAGTGGGTCTTATAGTGAAAATTTTTGAAATTTCATTCTGTTGGTATGAAAATTTTAGTGAATATCCTTTCTTCTCATCTCAGCTTTTGGTTGACATTAAAAAATAACATTTAAAAACTAAATAGTTGGTATATTTGAATGAAAAAGATTTACAAAGCTTGTTTAATAATCACTGCAGTTAAAAGAGACAGCAGAGCGGATTTTAGCTGTGGATCGTGCAGCTGCCATGGTTGAAGAAATGTTGAAACATAGTCAGAGCTCACAGGCAGCTTCTTCCCCTTTTATGGCAGCTATTAGCAATGGTGTGAAGGTATGCTTGCGCTGCAATCCCTATTATTGAGCTATGAGTTTGAGATAATTAATTATGGGGTAAATTTTTAACCAAATCTAGATTCTCAGGCATTTAGCACATGCATATATTTGGGCTTTGATGCAGAGCCATCACTGAATGTTGCCGCTCGTATTCGTGGACCAAATGTGAGATTTTCATTTACTTCCTTTCTGTTTTGCCTTTCATAATCCTTTAAGGGATAGTACACTGCTCTCGATCCATATGTTATCTTGATGTTTTGTCATGCCTAGTTAATGATGCCATTTTAGTTCTATCTCTTCTTATAATTATCTATGAGCTATAGCTGCTCTTTTATTCTATCATTGGATTGTATAATTAGATGGCCCTACCGTCTTACATAATTAAATGAAAATCAACTATCTGATGTCAAGAATATGGACTACGTCCTTCCCTAAACGGTCCCTTTGCCTCAAATCCTCTTATAATGTGCGTGCATCTGGTATTTCTCGTATGTCTTGTGCCCATTTCTTGTTTGCATTTTCTGTTTAATCATTTTATTTAAAGTTTGTGTTGCATTTGTTAAAAAAGAGAGATTCTAATGTTTGAAGCTTTCTCTGACGTCTCCATACAATTGGGGGAGCATGTTTTTGTGTTGCTGGTGGTTCGGTTTTGTACTTGCAGGACCAATATATAAGTCACATTATGAATGAAACAGGAGCAACTGTCATACTACGAGGATGTGGTTCAGGAAACTTTGAGAGCCTGCAGGGTGAAGGTACTTTTATGCAGTGCAAAAAAGTATTTCTTTATAATTTTAGATAAACCTAAGGGTTTCTGCTGTCATTTTAGATTCTTCTTTTTTAAACATTATAGTTTATCTGGCCTTGTTCTGGTTGCAGAAGCACAACAACCATTGCACATATTTTTATCCAGTAATAATCCTAAAAGTCTTGATGATGCCAAGCGTTTGGCAGAGAATCTCCTGGACACTATCGGTTTAGAGTTTGGTGCATCCAGGTAATCAGGTTTCTATTACTTTCTATTACTGAAGGGTGGTGATTGTAATTTTCTAATCTCATTGTTATTCCAAGTCTGATTGTTTGTCATTTTGGACTGGAGTAACCTGTTTCTTTCCTCCCATTTTAGGACTTCATCAAGTAAGGTTTATGGTGCAGTACCGCCTCCACAGCAGTTGTTGACTGGAGTTCAAAGTTTTGCAAGTGAACAAAATCTACATGCTAGTTCAGCTGCTGGTTTGACATCACTGCCAGTCACTACGCCAGCTCCACCTGTTACAGTCCCTGCAGTCACTACTGGCTATTCTCAAGGGATGGTTGTGGGGATGCCTAACTTTGGGCCAAACCAGGCAAATTCAGTTGGTTATCCACAGTCTTTGGTAACTAGAGGGACAAGCTATACCGGATATGGTGGGATATATCCCCAAGCAACACCATTGCAACAGGTAGCATTAGCTCTTAGACAATCATCTCCAATCTCCTCTACTGTTGTACCTGCAACATCTGTAGCAAGCACAGTTGCCATCACTGTATCCAAATCAAGTGTTAGCTCTACTTTGCGTACTGAGAAGGAGCAAAGGCCTCCACAAAGGCGGAAGTTCCAGGAGTTACCAGCTGGTTCAAAGGGCCCTGCTAGACCCAACCAGGTATCGGTGCATTTTCCTGCTGTTTTCCCTTCAAGCTAAGCTATGAGGTATATGAATTTGTATTATTTGTGTACCATAATGGCCAAAAGTAATAAATGAAATCAAAGACAGATAAAGTCCTTACTCCAATCTGGCTTTTTGGCTCAAATAGTGGACCAATCTTGGTTCATGGCTGTTTGGTATAAGTATAACATTCATTTAGAAATCCCGGGCCAAAGAGCATTACCTTTCTCTCAGTGATTTTGGATAGGGGGTAGGGCTCTGCAATTTGGGCTAGTCTTCTGAGAAAAATTATGTTTATTTAATGTGGACTATGGTTCTTCAAAAGAAAAAGTTGATTATGAATATTTTAGAACCATTTGTGATGAGGATAGAATTGAAGCTAGCTATCCCATGTGAGCTTTTTGGAAAAATGCAATTAATATGAGTTCCTTTAAGACATTGTGGCCTATTCTATAGCGCCTATCTCTACTTGATAAATGTTGTTAAAGTAATTAGAATGGTGACATTTAAGTTTCAACTTGCTTTGCGTCATTTTCAAAGTTAGAGCCACTTTATCATGGAGAAAATGGTATTTTATTTAACTTTGTGCTTCCATTTAAATTAACTTTATGCTTCATTTAAAGAAATATATTGTTTATTAGCGCATGGATGGAAGTTTTTTATTTGGAAAAGTAGAAGTATATTTATGAATGGAGGCATTTCCAAGTAATTGAGTTACAATGGCCATGTTATAGTCCATGTGGTAGAAATTGGCTCATGATTACTGCTATAGTTCATGTGGTGGTGAATGTAAAGGACAGCAATTTCGTCTTTTAGCTAATGTAATTCTTGAACTTCACTTTTAACTCTCTCAATCCTGAGTGCCCTTTGCTTCGTTCATTCCCAAGTCAATCAGAATTTCTTTGTCTGTGTGTGTGGCCGTGCATGATCACATGATTGCAATCCTCTATTATGCTGACTCATGTTGGTACATCTGCTGCTGATATGTTTATGTGTCCACCCCTTTCTTCTCCCTCCTGCTTCACCACCCTGAATGGGGAAAAACCCCTTATGCAAAAATGGGAAATCTTTGCAAGTTAATGTGATTAGATGTACTATTTTGCATTCATACCATTGAATTTATGATTATATTTCCTGCTGACATTTTATGCTTATTATTCCAGGTATTTTTCTCTGACCTTCTAAGAAGCTAATAGGCTGATACCGGACCTCTGTTAGGGCCATTGGTTTGTATGTTTCACAGGGTTTTCAGTTTCAAAGGAGCAATTTGACAAGTCTTTCCTGCTTCAAAACCATGATTGGGAAACACTTCAGATTTTTACTTGTTGATTGGTCTATAGCTGTTTAACATGAATTTTGCATTTTTAGTGTGGTGTCTTCCATGGTCAGCATTTTAGAATGTGCGGCTGAAGTTTCAATTTAAAGGCCTTTCTATGTCAATATGTGTAGAATTTTTGTTTAGGATACTTTAAAGCTAAGGTTCCACTGAAAATGCATGAAATAGATAACAATAAGTACATAAGCCAATAATCAACACAAACTGTATAGCCTCTTGCTGACAACAAATTTTTGGCCACTGCAACTGTTATTTGTTGATGGTGACACTGCATTTGACATTCTGGGCTTTTTTTTTTTTTTTTTTTTTTTGCATCTTGCCACAAGTTACCTTAGTTCTTGATTTCAAAAATACAAGGCTCGATTATTGGTTTATATGGATCCTAAATGTTGTCAGTTTAGACATTACGGTAAAATTAACTAGCTAAATCATGCCCTTTCACTAATTCCGGATGCCATTTTTTTTCTCATACATGACCTGTGTAAAGATTCTGCCGTACCTTTGAAGTCTTAACATTCTTTTTTTTTCCGGATGTTTCCCATTAACTATTATATTACTGTTATCGTGAAATTAGGCTTGGATTGTTTGTCTAACTCATTTCAGGAATCTGAATCTTTAAATCCAAGCAAGCCATTGGGAGATTTAGGAGTGAAAAATGTATCAACTATGCCTGCTCCAAAGAAGTTGGTTCATCCGTCATCTAATGGAATGCCTGCACCAACTCCAAGAACCTTGCCACCTCCGCCTCCAAAAACCATGCTGCCTCCACCTCCACCCAAGTTCACTTCATCAACACTATCTGGGAAATCTAATGACAAGAACAAAGTTACCAGTAAAGCTAAACTTGATGCTGTCCCTGGTAGGATGAATTCCTAAACTGGCTATTTTAAAAGTTTCTGGTGCTAAATTTGCTTCCCTGTTATAACTATTGCGGTGATATTGACTGAAATCTAGTAAATGATGTCTTCCAATTGAGCGTATTAACTTTATATTACTAATCTAAAATGTTTGGTTGTTTCAGAAACCTTGGTCCAGTTAATGTCATATGGGGATGAAGATGATGATTCGGAGGAAAGCAGTGATGAATCCCTAAATAGAAACTCCAATGCAGATGCGGTTCGAAAACCGTTCTGGGCTTTGTGACTCATCGGTGGCCTAAGCTGCTGAATTTTGCAGAGGCTGAATGAGGCATATCATGGATTCCGTCAAGTGCGTATCAAGTCTGTGTTTTTCTTTGATTCTTTTGAGATTGCAGCTCGGCAAATACTTATTGAATACCAACAAGGTGAAGTGACTTCAAATTTATTGCAGTGAGACTTGCTTGGAAGCATTTAGAAGTTCTAAATCTGATAGAATTGTGTTGTATATTGGTTGTAATTTGCCACTAGTGTAGTTATTAGTTTCCTTTAGTGTATTGGTGAAATCGGCAAATCTTTAGATAGCTGCATTCTGTTAGAAGTAAGTTCTTTCGGGCTGTCAAATGGAAACATGATGCTTTTAACTCTGTAAATTCTTCTGTGGCAAGGATACTATCATTCATTTTAATGTGTGAAAAACATACTAAAATTTTAACAAAAACTTTGAGTTTACAAAAAATTTCTCTTGAAATCGATTTTATTTAAATTGAATTTATTAGTTTGGTTTATTGGTTTTTAAATTTTAATTTTTCGTTATATATTATTTTAATACAATTTTTTAATATATTTAAATAGATTTATATATAAAATAATTATTTTTAAAAAATATATATAAATATTAATGAAAATATATAATTTGAACAAATTTAATTTTTATTTTTTATATCTCGATTTAAAATTTGATCTAAATTTAATATATATATTTAATATCTAAATTTAATTTGAATCAAAATGAATATTTCAATTTTAATTTTTGATTTTTTTCCTCACTCGTCCGTACACCCAGTTTATTTCTACAGGAGAAAATGCCATTAGTCATATCAATGATGGCCATCTGCAATTCGGTAACGACTAAAGAACGTGGGGAGAAAAATAATTGCTTCTTTTTTTTTTTTTCTGGTTATCATTCAAATGGTTCAATGCTCCTGCTGCAATATGCTGCCTTTAGCCTAAGTTAAATTCCAAACCATATGTTGGTGAAGACCAAAAGTAAAAATACATTGTCTTGACAATTCAACCAATGATTGCTAAGAAAATGGATTGCATTTTCCATATATATATATATATATATATATATAAGAACTTTCGCAGTCGACTTCTTTGGTTTTCAGCCACAAAATATCTGTAAAAAGTTTGTCCAAAATTCAGTTTCTCTAAATGTTTCTCTCGTTGACGCCATTTCTCTAATGAGCACCATTTGCACACGGCCTAAAAAAAAATTTAAGTTGGGAAAGTCGAGTCTCTTTCATATGTCAGGTTCATTTAAGGTGGACAGATCACAGATGCAAGGTCTTCCCTGTTAACAAACTTGCCTCAACTGAATATGATGAACCAACTAGAAACTTCTTGATATAAATTTTTGGGGAGCCCATTTAATAAATACTATTTAATGCTTGATCCCTAAGTTACTTTGAATTCTAGTTGCCATCCTTCCCCATGAATTTTGAAATAAAAATAGAAAAAGAACCACAAATTTTTTACAACAAAATAAAAGAATTATATTTTTATATTAATGAATTGATTTTATCAGTATAAAACGTAATCAATCACTAAATTTTATTATATTTTTTTAAAATTTATGCTCTGATAAGGATGAGATTACAAAAAAAATTATTACGAGGAAGAGATTACAAACAGTGAAATCATTTTCTTTAACTCAGTTCATACATTTGGCATCTAACTGAGAGACTTTTAACAGGTGGGGTTTGCCTTAATTCACTTGTTTATTGATCAAAACAAAAGGCTACAAATACAACAAAAGCCTTTTGATCCGTAAAATATATAAACCTGGCTACAGTTTGAGGATAAGGGAAAGGATTGTAAGCATTGGAATTAAATCGCAGATCTACTATGTGCTATCTCTTAAGATGACTATGAATCATCTGAGTTAAACTCAGGTTATTGTATATACATACTTTCCTATCATAGTTTCACCTCCTATGGTGATTATGCAGTGATTTTTGGGATCCCTCAAAGAGGTCTAACAAGTAATCCTGCAGATCTTCAGCATTGTACACTTGATGTGTTTCTCACCGATGTGGTACGTTTGTCTTCCAACAAATGTCCGACAAGCCTGGATCACTTTCATGGATGTCAAAATTCGTAAATCTTTTCGAAACTGAGCATCTGGGATAAGCCATGCCGTCTGTGTTTTATAAACCTCTTCAAAAGCAACATAAAAGCTCCGCAATCTCTCCTTGAGCTGTGTCTGGAATTGCTCTCGTCCTTCAAGAAAGATAGAATTGAACTCCAAGTAGCTCTCTCATAGTCCATTGCATGCTATTGGAATTTCCAGTTGTGCTTTCTAATCCACCTATCTCCAAATATAAGCATGAGTTCTGAATTTTTAACCTTTTGAGCCATGTAATGTATATTGTTCATAAAAAAGAAGTGTTGCAAGGAAACGTCCCTGTATAATTTGAATTGTCCCTCCTGCAAAAGGGCTTGTTGAGTGTTTGATGCAACGGTATTCTCAAATTCAAGAAATGTTGCCCTTACAGAATCACCCAAGCTCTTCAAAACCTCATGATACTCAATTCTAACAGAAGAACCAGCCTCATCCAAAAACAATGCATCAATGTCTGGAAGAAGATCTGAAAGCACCTCATACATTACTAGAATTCGAACTAGCTTTTCTGGTTGATAAGAGCCAATGGAGATGGCCTCAGCAAAGCTAAGAAGCTGCAGCATTGAAGCCTTTGCCGCCTCAACAGAACATTCCAAATTAGCTGATCCAAGCTCAGCAAAAATCTGGTCGCAGAGCCACTTCTCGCTGGCAAGATAGGGCCACAAAGACCTTCATAGCTCTAACCCATCTCTTGATTATGGAATTCAAGGTACCCCTCTCCATCTTGAGCACGTCTTCAATTCTCAATTTCTCCATTTCAAGATTGAAGTGGCACTCATCCAATACATCCATTGGAATAATGACACAGGCCTGGCAACACTCACGATTATAATTTGACATGAACATCAAATTGGCAATGCATTTGAGATCAGGAATCACATCTGGATGAATCAACTCATAATCTTCTCCTGAACTACACTCAATCGCTCTTCAATCCCAGTTTTCCCACCCTTAACCATGTAGTTCTCAATTGTAGCCATGGTAGATAATTGGCTACCAAGATCTGCCAAGATTTTCTTCACATCTTTAGTAAGGTTCTTATTAGAACCCAATGCTCTCACTTTATGTTTGGCTGCAGCAATTAAATTTTCCTCTGCTTCTAATTGCGGAGCCACAGATTCATAATCCCCCATGGTCATAATCAAAACCACAACAACTCAAAAAGAAACTCAACTAAAACCTGTTTCTCTAACTCAAACTCTCTCTATTCAAATAGAAAGAATTGAACACCCACACTGCTTAAACTGCCACCCATCTGATTGAAAAAACCAATACTAATACTTGACTAGATCTGAAGTTCAATCTATTGAACCAATACATCGATAAAAATGGAAACTTAAAAAAAAAAAAACCAACAAAGGAAAGGACATAAAAATCACAAGGAACAAGAAAATAGATCAAGCTAAGACCAAAACAACCAAAAATCTAAGAAACCCACATTTTCTGAAGAGTCAATATTTTGAAATAAGGCATCAAAGGAAGGAAACGCTCCAAATCACAACAAAAACATAAGAGCAAATGCATATAACTATCTACGAACTTCAAAAAGATATATAGCAAAACTATATATATATATATGTTAAAGAAAAAAAAACCAGCTCTTTTTGTAACACAAGAAGTCAAAAGAGAAGAAGTAATTTGAGTGTACGGATAGTATAAGGAAGAAAAGAAAAAGCTGTACTTCGGGTAATTTGGAGCTTCGGGTAGATTTTTTTAAGGAAGTTGCAGCTTTTTAGTTATAAATTACAAGTCTTTGGTTATAGCTGTTTTGTTTTTGTTTCTTTGCCAAGTTTGTGGTTTTGACTAGGTTGTTTAAGTCGGACGAGTGACTAATAATAGTAAGCAACAAACTATTATTCATTATTTTCTATATCGTTCTACTTTTATTGCATTTTTTATAAAAGGGTTTTTAAGAATTACTTTTTCGGAGCATTTTGACATCCTTAGTTCTTACTAGGAATGATATAAAAGAGTAATGCGCCAACCTTCAATGGTGCTTTTTCTTGTTTTTTTTTTTTGTTTTTTTGCCTCGCTGTGGTCGACATTGCATTTTCATGTCCACAGTTCCTTTCAATCCATGCATGGTCACTTGTTTGCTTTCCAAGCAACAATGTTTTCGATATATTCCCGCTTTAAATCAGGATAAAACTTACAAAAAAAATTTTAAATGAAATTTATAAAATTTTTTTTACAAATGATCTAATAAAAATTTTAAATCATAAACTGATATAATTTAATGTGAAAATTAATAATATGTAAAAAACTATTAAAAATATTATTTATAATTTAAATTTGATTGATATTCATTTAATGGTAAAAATTTTATCAATATTTTTATTAAAAATATCAATATGAAAAAATATATAAATTTTTTTTAAAATTTTACATATTTTATTTATATAACGAAACTTTTTAATTTATAAATTTTGATTTTGATTTTCAATTTTAATTTTTATTTAATTATTTTAATTACAAATTTTATAAATTTCGTCTTAAAAACTTTATTTAAGTTTTTCCCTTTGAATCAATGGATCCACAAACAATTTGGCAAGTACAAGAAGAAAGTCGTTGATGACAAAAGTAGGAAAAGTAAAAATCCGATGGGTTTCAACCTGACCCAATTTCTTAGGGTCGATTTTTTTTTTTGAAAATTGGGTATTAGGTCAGGTAGCATAAAAAAAATTTCGGGTTGGGTTGGGCCCGATATATATAAAAAAATTATTTTTTTAATTTTATATATATTTAATTTAATATTTATATTTAAAATAATATTTTATTAATTTCGGATCGGATCATATTTGATTTTATATAATGTCGAATCGGGTCGGATATTAAAAATAAAAAAAATATCGGATCGGATACAGGTACGAATTTTATATGTATAAAATCGAATCGGGTTCGAGACGAGCAAAAATCTGTCCCGACCCGACCTGTTGCCATCACTAGGCAAAAGGGATATATAGTTAAATATTTGTAATGCAACAAATTTATATTAGGATATTGTGAGGATCCATAATTTTATATATGTAAAAATTTAAGTTTATATTTGTGAATATTTTTTATAAAACAAAATTATAAAAATTTTAAATAAAATGAATAATATTTTATAAGTTGATCGAGAGTATCTATAATATTTATCTACAATGTTCATTTGAATCCCGAAACAGGATTGCAAAAGGTGAATAGTATGTTAGCAGTAAAGGAAAAGGCCAATCAGGATAAGGCAGAGTGATCTTACTCTTTTCTTACGAAAGAGGACATAAGCTAAAAGCCTATAGTTTCCCATTGATTCAAACAAATG